TATATATATATATAAAAATCAAATTGCTGTTTTTCAACCAAAAGTCCGAAACCTCAAGATATCCAATTTGCTATCACAGAAGACAAATAGAACCGGAAAATCCTCACCTTTGAGAGTTTGTAACCAATTAATTTTTGCCCTTTCAACTATCAGAATGGTTGGCAATTAATTTATTAATGCCTGTGCATTAATAACTCATTTAATTGTTGCGCTGTCTTGATGATGACTTTTAGGGGTTTTGTTGTTGTGGATTCAGCACCCAGCTGTACACAATGCAGCCGAGTGTTCCCATTCATTATCATCATTTTGTGGTTTAGCAGTGATTTGTAAAGAGTCACACTGAGCTGCTGCCATTCATTACAGTCATTACGTTGTTAATGTGTCAATCATTTTTCATCATCAGTTGAAAGTTTGAAGGAAATGTGTGAAAATAGTGACGCTTACCGATCCTCGCGCAGCTGACAGGGTCTTGAAACTGTTTATTTAGTCTGTAAAGAAATAACTAAAATAAGTTACAGTAATGTGAAACACAGATAAGCAGCAGCTAATACCTGGCATATTTTCTTCAGAATGACAGAGCATTAATTACTTTCAAATCAGCAGTTGTCTGTGAACTGCACAGCAGAGTTTTGTGGTAACAGAAACATGAACATGACCTGTGACAGCAGTCGGGTATGTAAAAAAGCTGGTTTCACATGTGCATTAATTATTAAGTGTCACACACTTTACGCGTTGCATACTTTACCTGTTGTTGTTTTTGTATTTTATGAAATCTGAATTTGGAGTGAAAGGTTTGGATAGTTATTTTATTGTGAGGTTAATTCTGACATAGTTTCTGTTGTCTCACGTTGTCTGCTTTGTTGAATGTGAGAGAGTTAATGGGAGTGTTTAGAAGGTTTAAATGAGATTGTGTTTTCACAAACACATGCATGTACAGCACAAATACCAAATTAGACACATTTGAATCCATCTGCCATTGGAAATATTACAGAGAGGGTTGCAACAGTATGACATTTTCACGGTACAATAACCTCACAGTATGACGGTATACAGTATGACATAGTTGTTGTTATTATCATCAATTACAATGACCCTTAAAGGAATGAAAGCAGGGATTGAACAAATGCTTTATTCTGTATAATGATACTGGTACACCGCTGCAACCCTATTTAGACTAATATTATTACTTGTACGCAAAACTCAAGCAGTTATTTTGATAGTTGATTATCCTGATATTAATTATGCTGAATAATGATTGTTGCTCTATTAAAAAAACTGTGTGTGTCTTATTATTTTATGTGAACATATCTCGATAAAACATACATAAACATACCGGGGACATGTTCATATACATGTAACTCAAGGTTGTGATTCATAATTGAGATGGTATTTCTGTCTCTCAGACTCACAAGGTCGGTGACGTTTGTTGATCAAAGTGGAGACGATTCTGTTTCTGACTCTGTTTTCTGATTCTGTTTCCTTCAGGCAGACGAAGCCTCTGACGTTTGCTGACTGCATCGGGGATGAGCTGCCAATCGGTTGGGAGGAGGCGTACGACCCCGTCGTCGGATCGTACTATGTCGACCACAACACCAGTGAGTTTACTGTTTATTATGCTTACTGTTTGTCTCTTCATCCAACTACCCCTATTCAACTCAGTCCCATCTTTATTCTCACTTTTCACTCCTTATCATTCCTGTTCTTTGTCCATTCTTAAAGTATTTCTGGTAGCTGTATCACTGATGTATGTGTTTGTATTCTCTGTTGTTCCTCCTTTACTCCAGAGAGCACCCAGCTGGAGGACCCACGGGCCCAATGGCAGCGGGAGCAGGAGTCCATGCTGCGGGACTACCTGGCCGTGGCCCGCGATGCGCTCAGTGCCCAGAAGGAGATCTACCAGGTGAAGGAGCAGAGGCTCCGCCTGGCGCAGCAGGAGTACCGGCAGCTCAATGATGCGTGGAGGGACAAGTCGACGTCACAGACCAGCTGTGAGTACTGTAAATTTAGGGATTATTTTGAAAGTGAGAATTGGGAACACAGTGATGTAACACTACAATAATGTCCACAACAGAGGGAAAAGATCCCTCCCATGAAGTGAAGGCCCACAGCTTTGTTAAACTACAAAAGTTAAAAGGTCTTCATTTTCCTGAGTACATGATTAAAAACCAGACCAATGTGTGTAAACTGCACACTGGTCCTCCGGTGAGTAAAAGAACCACACACAGACAAGTTAATGACAAAAGCACAGGTTTCACACATTGGACTCCCTCATTACACCTATAATCACTCCAAATATTTATACATACACATGGATTTCAAAGGTAAAATTAAAGAATATAGAGAGACAACAAAGGAAAAAATGAAAAAAAAAATGTATTTAATGAAAAATGAAATCAATGGAAAAATGAAAATAAATAAATGAAAATAAATGAAAATAAATATAAAATATATAAAAATAAGATTATGTGATATTATGCTGTAGGTCATTATGAGGAAAACATTTGGGGAAGTTGTTTGGTAGCAACAGTGTTGTGTTGGTGTCACTGGATGTTTTTGCGCAAGCAAAGTAAATCTGTGCGTTCAAGTTTGGTGAATTTTGAACTGCAATTTTGTTGCCGTGTACCGAGTGGAAAGTGATTTTACCGTGCTGACCTTTAAAGGAATAGAGAGAAAGGAACATGAGCAGAGAGCAAATGCTTTATACAGTATGTTTTGTTTTACATCAGTGTTGCTTTTTTTGGTCAGATACATCCTCAAATTTCAGTTTATAGAAAAAGTGTCAATGTAATACTGTTGCCTCTTTATGACCTACATTAACAATCAAGACCATGACTGTCTGTCTCTCACTCAGGGGGACTCTTCTGTCAGCTCTCCCTGGTGTAAAAAAAACCAAAGAAGAAAAGGATACAAGGGTCTGTTCTTTAACACCTCTCCTTTCTCTTCATATCTTACCTTTCTGCAGTGAATTCCAGATCGTCCTCGTCCAGCAAGTACGACCCAGACATCCTTAAAGCAGAGATAGCCACAGCCAAAAGTCGGGTAAGAGCCTCTCCTTCCTATTTCAACCATGTGACATCGCACTTGGATACCTTACATCTGGCTGATACCTGATCATCTAAACATAAATGTATGTTATTAGGGCTACAACTAACTGTTTATTTCATCACTGATTAACCGGTCAGTGTTTTTTTTGTATCGCAATATCGGTCAAAAAACAACGCAATATGACGTTTTTACCATATCATGCAGGCCTA